TTGATCAGTCAAGGGTCAGAGAGAGAACTCACAACATGAGAAGGTTAAATATCGTTTTCCATGTTAAGGTCTGGGTGGCGATTTATTTTCCTTTTTAATGTGTCACCATTTGTTCACGCCAAGAAAACATATATTTTAGATATCAGACAAATGCTGCATGTAAGAACCACAATACATAGAATACGATTTTTGTAATGCTTTCTTTATTATTTCAATAGAAGTTTGAATACAGCGTGCCACGTGGTTGTTGGCAACCTTTTGGAGAATTGTGACATACTATGTATACAAGAGACATTCTTAGCAAAGCAAGACTTTGAAAAGCTAAACTCTTTTGATAATAACTTTCATGGGTCTGATGAGTCTACAACTGACCTTGGCATGGGAATAGTCAGAAGGAAGATACCAGGGGACGTGGCTATTCTCTGGAATAATAAACTTGACTCATTGATAAATGTAGTCATGATATGGAATTAATTATCCTAAATATCTGTACACCCTATGAGTGCAATCACAATGATGAATATCTAAATAGGCTTGCCTTCATCAAATCCTTTATTCAAGATAAAGATGTGAATATCAATATGTGGGGATATGAATGCAGACAAACACAAGGAGTGAGATCCAAACATCACTGGCCGTGGACCGAGATAGCTTTAAGTCTTGTCGTGGCAGAAATTCAGAGGTTGAGTGTGAGAATGAAATTAAAGGGAACCAAGGTGTGTTTTATCTATGTTGACACAGTATTTACACAGTGCTCTTTACACAGTAAACTTATGTTAACCAACAATATGTGCAATTTGACGTTTTTGCAAACAGTAGATGTACAATTCAGGTAAACCTTCTTTATAATGTACAGAATTTCAGGGGAAAGTTCACACCCCAAATTAGAAGCTGTGCCTCAATTTGGGTGATGCATTTTTTTTTTAAGTTGCAGGCAGGTGACCTTTACGTCTACAATATTGTACACATTAGCAGAGAAATCTGTAAGTTGGACATCTTCTTGAGTCCCTGTTCTCTGTACAGGAAGAAGACCAGCAGTCACAATGTGGTGGAAAAGGGACCGAGATGTACAAAGGGTGACTCGGAATAAAAGAAGAAAAAATGGTATCATCTGCTGGTAAATGTCCTGTTTTATAAATTTATGTCAATCTTTATAATATTACTGGGTTAAAATAGCATTTGGCTGTGCTGTAAATTGTACCATTTTTAATTATTATACATTATTTTATGTTTTCAGCCAGGAACAGACGTTAAGTCAAAATATGACTTGGAAAAAAATATTTATCGTCTCATGGCCATAGCCAGCAGGTCCTGACCAATGTAATTATTTCCTTTAAAAAGAAAAAACACTGTCTCCCTCTGAATGACACAACCTTCTAGAATCAGATTTTACTTATTCCACCTTTTCCTGTTTTGGACGTTGGATGAATTCAACAATTTCAATAAGGAAAATAATCAAATGAGTCAACTTTAATCAAACTGTATGTTCAAAATATTTATTTCCGTCCACAGTGTTTTTTTATACTTCATTAACATCTTGTGAGGAACTTTGGAGCATCCCAACTTTGCGTGTCTGTTTATTTTTCCCTTTTATAGTTTCAGTACACTTTTATTTAAACCCCAGAAATGAGACAGAAATCATTATTTCCTCCTATAAGTCATTTGTCAGGATCCTAAAGGGTAAAAACAGATCATGTGTTTCACTTTTGACCTTCACCAGCAACTTTATAATGAGTTTCTAGATTAAAATCATAAACGCTACGACAAAGGACTGCAGGACCAATTGTCAAATATCTTATCTCTTTATTTAATTTGTCAATGGGAACAGAAATCATGCAGCATGTGATTGATAAAGAGGAACAGTAGTCACAAGACGATAACAGGGACGTGACCATGCGAAGTCCAGGGATTAACAAATACCGCTGACACACAACCTAATGTGGTTTAGAACAGCTGCAGTGGGATTTGAAGTAACAAATGTGGTTTGTTGACAAAGAGTTTCAACATTTCTCTCCGGTCCCTATCAGGATTTGGTCTGACTTGGTCTCACTCCACGTTTGCATCTTCTACTTGCATGCAGGGAAGTGTGTTCCACTCCCTGTTTAAGGCCGATATCACGGCCCCACACCTAAAAAATGTTGTTTTATCATCCATTTTTTAGAAAGGAGTGGAATTCAAGAATATCAGGGCTTGTATTTATGTTTTAACCTCTTGAAATCCATTTTTCTTCTTAAATGTATCCTTACAGGGGTAATGTAACCTTTAGGGGTAAGGTCGATTGTATTTTAGAATTTTAAAATGTTGGATTTGTTAAAATTCTCTTGACATCCCGACAGCAATTAAATCGAATGACAAAACTAGAAATAAAATAATTTTATTATAAATCCGTCCAATCATTTCACAGTACAGTTATAATATGTAATACTTAACATGAAACTAGTGTTCAGATAGTTTATGATTTGGTATGAATTAATTTAATTATATACTGATTACAGATTATATCATTAAGTGACTGAATGGCTGCACCATTCCAACAAATGTAAATAATTAAAAAGGCTTGTGCAAAATTGTATTTTCTCAAATCCACCCGACACATTCTGAAATCTCATTTGATCAAAGTTGCAGAGACGGTTATGTGAGCGCCTGAGTGCACTATAATAATGTGACTGTATGTTTACCTGTGTTGAGAGTATGTAGTCTGTGCTGCTTAGTTAGAACAGTGGTTAAAGAGGTTAGTAGATTTAACTTCAAAACACATTTAGAAATGGCTTCAAATTATGTAACTGAAAATAGTTAATCATTGAAAAAAGTAATTACATTGTTAGTGTATCAATAATTGCTGTGCGAATTGAAACTTCATGACATATTTTAAGAAAGATGATCAAATTCAAGAGTTTGTATGTAATTTTGTAATGTTAGTACCATAAAAATCAAGTTCCTGGTTCACCTCCAGCACGGTGGTAGTGAATCATGAATGTGTACTTAGTTTACACAATGCGCTTTTGTTCAAACAAGATGAGGGAATCTATATACTGCACGTGACTCATTCAAATGTGTTTAAGGTTGGGTGAGCTTCACGGCTCAGTGTCCGTGCGAAAGTCATTTTTAGTCTTTTTTCACCACTTTTGAAGCCTTGAAACAGTTTATGCAACCAAAAAAATTTACTTTTGAATGTTACTTTTGGTGTAAACAATGAAATTCATTATTTTAAAATATACACCTACTGAATACTTTTTATTTTAAGCTGTTGACCATGTATTGGGAATGAAAAAGCATTTTTCTCCTTAAATGTATCCTATAGTGACCTTTAGGTTGCAATGCTGTATGACAGCATCACATATTGTGGATCAGCTTGTTCCAGATCTTCACTGAAGTAGTTTGTTTACTTCCAGTAAAATATAAGTTACTAAACTGCATCACATATGCTCAATGTCCCGACAGATATTACAGTAACATTATACAATACTTAACATGATAAACATTGAACTAGTGTTCAGATTGTTTATGATTCAGTATGAATATACTGTTTCTACAGTGACTGAATTGCTGCACCATTGCAGCAAATAAACAATTTAAATGTCTTGTGCATAGTAATATACACATTTTCCAAAATGCAGACTGCTTTGTTATATTTCATATAACAGACTGCCGCTTCAGGAAGGACTTTATCCATTCGACACTAAACCCAGTTGTGAATTGACTTATTTGTCTTGATTGCTTCTTGTCCAACCGGTTTTCTTCACTCGTCTGCCAGCTGAAGACGCATAGGCCCTGTCCTGCCGCTGTTTCACAAATCAAATACCACAGAAAGAGAAGCAACACCTCACAACAAATCTGATTCATTTATTCTTTAATGTTGTACAAAAGTTACATTTTTACATGCTCTTTACATCATGATCTACAGCATGTTGTAACATATTAGGAGTGGAAACTGCATAAGCATTGTTTTATATACTGAGCCAGGATAATTTGATCATAACCGATTATAATGAAGCTGTGTTTGGTTTAGGATCCTATTCGAAGTATTCAACAGGGTCCTCCTGGCACTTGGACTGCTGCATATTAGATAACTCTAACCCTCCTCCAGTATGTGGGAGCTTTTTCCAAACACGGAGGTGAACATGCTCGTGTCCTCCCACATGGACCTGCAAGGAAGTAAAAGTGAAGTTTCAGGAGATCTTGGTTACTTAATTATACATCTAGCCGACATGGAGCAACGTAAGCATTTAATGCACGTCTTGTTTATGTCCACCTGAAGAATGTAGAAAGCAAGAACCAGACTCCTTTGCAATGTAGATCATAAGTTATATTGAATGAACCCTTCTTTCATTATCTGTGTAATTAGATAAGGTTGTTAGTTATCGCTCCCAGAACATACGAGTTCAGTAGTGACTGAATAATTGATCGTATCTCAGTCAACTTGTTAGAATATAGTCTACTTCCCAGCATGCATTACATTTAGGTTAAAGTTCTCCAGCAGTCCCTCTTTTTTCTGCATCTTGTAACTTTATTCGTATTGACTGTAACCGCTTCAAATGTCACGTGATCTTGTTACTACAAAATAAAAGTCGTTGATAGTCACCGTTTTGTTTTGTCTCGTATTTCATAATTACCTTGATGAAGTAGTTGGTCCCGGCCACTACCTGAGACGTGTAGCTCTTGGCTGTAAACACGTCATAGGTTTTCCCTGCTTTTTCCTCTGCAGCGGCCTTTACCTGAATAACAATGAGATTACAGCAACATTAAACATGACACGCAGGCCCTGTTTACTGTGGATAGTTCAGAGGGAAGAAAGTCAATAATACTTTTAGCTTCTACTTACGCTGTCACAGATCGTCTGAATTTCTTCGGTAGCAGCAGCTACCGAGCCAGTCCCTCCGCACATCATTATGACAGTTTTAGTGGCGAGAATTAGCGAAAAGACGACAGAAAACGTTACTTCCCTTCTATATATCCATGGTTTGTGTCCGCGAGGCGTTCAGGATGACTCACTGTGTCATATGACTCTGTATCATGGGTCATACCATCAGCGTAGGGGGGGATTGCTTTCTAAACGATGTTACAACCCGACTAAAATCACCAATAACGTCTCTATATTGGTTGAAAATGTTACATTTAATCTAAGATGTTTTTATGTTAATCGTTTAAAGTACTAGAAAGGAGTGTTCTAAAAATATATTTTATATATCTCTTCGTCTTCCGTCTTTGTAGAGAATGTGGTTTAGTCTGAGGTGCGGCTGTGTTTGGACGCTTTCAGATCACTGTTTGGTTCAAACCATTAGTGACAAGAAAAACAAAGATGAGTCTTTTACTAACTAAGCATTTCCATGAACGTTTCTCTCTTTTTTTGTATTTCCTCTTTTATCAGTCAGCTGTGCAGCAGATACAAAGCTCCCCAAAACAAAGAGTAGACTAAACTGCATCAGCAGTATAACCCTCTCTGTAGTCAAGTTATGATTTAAGAAAACTTTCCACACCTCCACTGAACAGGTTTTGTGACAGCAGATGATTAATATTTCTAAATTGTCCACGAAAGAGTTGCAGTTCTTCTTTTGAGGCCAGAGGTGATGATTCATACTCTATTTATTTTTCTATTCACTTCATTTTCCTCCAGGCTGTTTTGCAGTTTTGGAAAGTAACCAAGTAACTCGAAATTGTATTTAATTAAAAGTAGAAATGTATTAGCATCAAAATATACACGGTATATTCCACATTAATTTACTGTGTGTGTGAGCAGAAACGTACTGTATACTATTTCCCAGTAAAATACTGTGTATTCAACCAAAGATTACAGTAGTCAAAGCTTTAAAATCACAGTAATAAATCGTTTACTGTATACTTAAAGTAATGATATCGAAGATTTTCATCTAATGTCTATTAAGTCCACTGATGAAAGTATTGCAATATTTATTTATTTGCAGTATTACAGACTGCTGTATGCTTTAATGCTTTATTAGTTTTTCTCCATTCACGCACAAAACGGAACTGCACACAACTCTGAAAACCTGAAGCTTATGTATCAACAAAAAGACTCAATAATTATAAACTACAATGCAAATACCAAAAGTAAAAGTATTATTATTATTATTATTATTTCATTATAATGTATATAGTATTGGATTATAAGTATTGATTCATAGGGGATAATTTAAATGACACAAGTATACTGCTTGTGAATTCCCCCCAGGGATCAATTCAGTCTTATCTAAACTTGTAATAATACATCATAAGGTGTTGATTATATTTTGTATTATTAATCAGAATTTGCAACATAAAAAGTAACAAAAAATACAAATTCCCCAAAGTTGTACTGCTTTATTGCATAACTTCACTAATGATTCTTTGGCTGAAGGGCAGCAAGTAAAGTGAAAGTTCATTCCAGAAGTATTCAGCATTTACAGCATCTTGAGTTGGGTAATATCTCTGATCTTTTCTTTTAAATCAAGCTTTCCATTCTTCATATGAAATGGAATTTTACAGGATTTGATTAAATCTTATTGTCAACTGTGCATAAAATCACACAATCCAGTCAGCCTCAAGCACACAGGTAAATAAATAAAGGGAGGCTGACCCAAAAACAAGCAAATGTAAAACCCGACGAGGACATCTGCTGGACAAAAGTGACAGACATCTGAATCCTGATTTTCATCTAGGATTAGTGGATCCACCTGTGTAAAATAGAATAAAATGGGCCTGCAGTTCTATTTTCAGCCATCTGACCCAGTTTTATATCATTGTCTTTAGGCTTTGGTGCTGAATCGGTTCCTGCTGACGCGAATAAAGACTCCCAAAACAATGGAGTCTCTGGATTCAGAACATCAACCAGTTTTGACCCAATTTTAACATTCTAACACATTAAACTATGATAGTGTACAGTGTACACTATACCTAAATGTAATTATGAGCATGGAAAGCTGTTAGTATGGTCTTATCAGTCACTCAGGAAAGTTGGGTGTCTGTGTGCATCCAATCTCAAAGTATAATGGAAGTATGTTTGTTGTGCAGGCTGGAGTCTCTTAGAGTCTTTCACAAGCAAAACAAAAGCAAATATCTAAGAAATGCAGATTAATACACATGATTTGTGCAGCAGAAATATCTCCACGGTGGGAGAGCTGTTTCCACTGACCAACTGGGAGGACTGGGGAGACAGTTTGGGAAGATGACAAAACTGTAAAACTGAATCTGTTGGGAAAGGCATCTAGGAAAGTACACAATATCCTAGTTAATTAAGAGCAACAGGAATAATAGAGAGAATAAAAACAACCTGTCGATCTACGGGTCCACCGTCCAGTCCAGTAGGCAGCGGTAATGCACCAACTCATTGTTTGCCAACCGCCAATAAACCTAAAAAAAGAAGTAGAAGAAGATGGTTTCACTTCGCAGCAGTCTGCACGTCGCGCTGGTCCTCACTATGTGGTCTTATGTTCTGTCTCGAGGTTTCTGCCAGACTGTGGCGAAAGTGAGAGGCAGGTCCTACCCGACCCTTGGCTCAGCTTTACGGTCTTTTACAACCTCAAGTCCCAAATACGGAGAAACATCCGAAAGCGGTAAAATTAATTTCCTGGTACACCTTGGCTGTGTCCTACAGAGGTCACCTTAATATCCCTGCAATGTCACGGTTGGCTCGCGTGCCAGTGTGTCTTAATCTCATGGGTTGGATATCAAAATATTACAATTGTAGTGGTGAAATGGCTCTTTTTAAACTGCTATCTGAGTGCTACTGTGCTATACTAACAGCATTGTCCCACTGAATGGACTGCAGTGTGTATATAGTGTTTTTCATGTGATTGTGTGAGACAGAGAGTTTGGTTGACTGGCATTTTTGTTTCAAATGGACAACAATGGTCTGTCAGTAGGGAAAATCACTAGTTTATCCTCTCAGCATTGACCAGACAGCACCACAGCTAAATTACATGTCAGGCTACTGTTTAAACAATGGATGGTAAGTTTAAAGGTTTTTAGTTAATAGTTACAGGCCTCAGTTAAAAGGAGTCGATTGGCAAAAGGTGGATTTTAACCTCATACTAAAGTGTAATCTTTTATGTAGCCCCCTCAGCTTCAGTGGTGATGTACTCACAGCTGAAGACCATGTTGTCCAACCGAGACATTCAGCTGTTTGATGTGAGAAATCCTGATGAATACCTGGCTGGACGCATTCCAGACGCCGTTAACATCCCACGTAAGTGTTAGTACTGTACAAAATGGGGAGGGGAGGGGGGGGGGAAGAGTGGTTTTCTATGTGTTCATACTCTCGTATTGTTTGCGTGTTTTGAATATCAGTGGGGAACCTGGAGGAGTCTCTGAAGCTGTCCCCTGAACACTTTCAGCAGCTATTTGAAGCGAAGGCTCCTGGGAAGGACGACGACAACATCGTGTTTCATTGCAAAAGTGGCAACAGGAGCTCCAAAGCGCTGGATATCGCCCGTCAGCTGGGATTTAGCAGGTAAATAACAGCGGATGCATCTGTATACACGTGTAAAACATGCAGTAGTCCAAGTACTACATGACCCATTAAAGGTCAGAGGTGACAGATAAAGTCTCAGATTTCAGTCCTGTTCGAGGATGTGGACCCTGCTAAACCACCGTGCTGTAGCAGCACTACTGTATAAATGGCAACTTTAATCTATTATTTAATTATTAATCCGTCCTGGTGGCGCGACTAGAGTACAATGTCCTAAGGCACTGCTTTGGCTTGTTGAACGCTGGATGAATTTTAGTAGAAGACTACAGTGATGAGACTAAGCTCTTCTCTTTATGCTTCTTTTCTTAGGGCGAGACATTACAAAGGAGGGTACAGTGAGTGGGCAGAGCAAGAAGGAAAATGAACCTGCGCCGAACTCTGTGCTTCACTTCCTAAATACAGCTAATATAAAAGTACAGAGTATGAACGAGAGATGCCAGTTACTCTTGAAATTACGTATTTTATTCATATTAACAGTTAATTTATAGGTAAATACTACTTTAAAGATTTAACTTCTTTACCTTGTTAAATTTCTTTTGCTGCTTATTTGACCTTTTTATTCTGTGATTCATACCAAGTGCTTGATGTTGATTAAATCATTTACAAATTTCAACATGTCTTTTTCATATATTTGTGTATATTGTAGACCTGCAGTTTGCCCCAAGTCTGCACTACACACCATATTTTTTTATTTTTGCAGTACTTGTCATAATTTACTGTTTTTGTAGTGAGCGTCTTTAAAATAAGGGATGCACAGATCTGAGTTTTTCAGTCTTGATGAGTGGGCTTTGTGTATCAGCTGATATCAAGTACTGATCTTATACCAGCATTAATTAATAAGCTGTATGCTTCACTGTGTGGAAGAGACGGGGCTCATTCTTATCAGGCTAATTTAAACATTGCTTACCTATCTCTATAAAAAAAAATGTAGCAAATAAATACGTAGATATTTATTATTAACAAACTAAATCGAACTACCGCAAGTTGGTAAAAAGAATCTACAATTTTAATTGTGATCGTGTTCACAAAATTAACCTTTTTAAATGCATCAACAAATTGGTCAAAACTGGAACATAAATTAAAATTCCAGTACAAAACAATACAACTGCATGAAATGAGAACAAAATGTAAACAGTTTTTGTAAGTAGCTGTAGAACCTGTTGGCGTATTAAACGTGAAACACCTCCAAACAGCTGACATGTTTGTTGTTGGGTCCCTCAGCTATGTGCATGATGAACCTAACCAGATCCTCCATTTCATTTGTGCACTGCATTTTGGGAGAATGGTGTCCGTCAACGACACACAAAAAAATTCTAGTTTTCTTTCTTTTTTATATGCATACAGATTGTTTTGACTTTACTTTATTTTGTCACTTTTCCAGACTGAACATACTCATACATACATACTCGAACCCTGTTTTTAGTATTGTACTGTAGTTTGGATTTGGGAGTTTGAATGTGGGATAAAAGCACTTCCATCTCTTGACCAATAGATGGCAGCAACATTTCAGCCAACTCAGAAACTGTTTATTTCCATGATTCCCACCGCTGTCCTTAATGATTATTGTAGCTATGCCCCCGTGAGCCTGACCTTCACAAAGGTATTGGTCCAGACAGATATGGATCCTGTGAGCGACAGCTCTGTGAGCAGCTGTCAGGGGCCCCATTTGCTTCACCTTCACCCTCCATCCTATCCTCTCTCATCCAGGCTATAAGCAACACATCAACAGTAATGTTTGTGTGTGTGTGGTGTGTGTGGTGGGGGGGGGGGGGTGGTTATATACTTAAATTGATTCTCTCTGCAACCATGAAAAAGGAGCTTGAACGTGACTCCATTCATGTGGGAGAGACTGAGATTGATTTTCTTAATGTTGCAAAGAAAATGGGGATTTAGTGGACATGTTTTCGTACGAGTGGATAAACCGCTGTGCACTCAACAGTCAAAATTCAGCATGTGTTATGGATGTCACACACCATAACTTTTGTCAACTTTCGGATGGACTCATGCCAGCCACAGTGTGTATTAGGATTCTCTTCAGCTCTGCAGTGCACAGGAGATATTTACCAGCGTGCTGCCCTAGAAGAAGGATGGCTCCAATTTCCAAGGACATTTGGACACTTTCCCATTAGTTAAAACACAAACTGACTCTATAGGTTGGTGGTAAAAAATAAACAGTTCGGGCTGTTTGTCAGCTGCCGGCGGTTTCATCAGATCACATCATCAACCTCCTGCTGCTCACTGCTTTTTAAAAAGTGTCCTTTATAGGAGGCTTTGTAATGACATCTAGTGAGTGCTGTCATTTGTTTCCTATAGAAATATATGCAAACGTGAGCTGTGCAGTTTGTATTTGCCTCCCAATTGATAGATTAATGTATTGATGAAAAAT